CTCCCGGCCCCGGCTCGCAGCCCCAGCCCCGCGCTGGGCGGGCCTGGTCCCCCGGCGGCACCTGCCTCCTCTCCGGGCCTCAGCATTCACTGGGGGCTCGTGCGGGAGCATTCCATTAATTAGTTATTCATTTAATTTAACTTCACATTTGGTCTCAATTAAGCTGAAAGTGTTCTTCCTTATAGATGTTACAATAGCACTTGTAATTAAAAAGCAATAACTCTTTGCATTTCTCCTTTAGCGATCCGTTGGGAGGCTGCGCGAGTGCGGAAGCGGGGGCGGAAAACAGCCACCGGGAGGGAGGGAAAGCGGCTCTCCGCGGGCCTGAGCGCTCGGAGGCCGCCACTGCACTGCGGGCGGGGGACGGAAATTCTTAACGCGTCGTGAGTGTCAGGGTGGGAACCCTGAGGATCGGGGGCCACGCTGGAGAGGAAGGGGTGGCCTGGGTAGAGGAAGGAGCGGGGCAAGGGAGCCGACGGAAGACGGAGGGTGGAAGGAGGCAATCCTTAGGGAAGGGGGTGGGGCTGAAGGCTGCCCCTCCCCCAAGCGGTCACATCCCCATTCCCGGAGCCAGTGACTGCGTCATCTTACACAGAAGATGTGACTGAAGACCTGAGGACCGTGGGTTGGGGGAACATCCTGGATTATCAGGGTGAGCCCAAGGTAATCACACAGTGCCTTAGAAATCAAACAGGGAGGCAAAAGGGTCAGGTGTCAGATAAGAAGATGCTGGCTTTGAAGACACAGGAAGTGCACGCTGGTCACGGGGTGTGGGTGCCTCCGGGAGCTAGGAAAGACACCGGGACGCACCACAAGAACCCTCAGAACCTTTGCTTGAGCCTCGTGGAACCCATTTCCCATTTCTGACCTGCAGAGCTGTAAGATAATGCGCGTGTGTTGTCCTAAACCACTGAGTCTGCTGTGATCTGTCACAGCAGCTGGAGGAAACTACGGCCTGCTCTCAGCGTAAAGCTGGGCGACAGTTTGAAGACAGGAAACCAAACACGTCCCCAGAGGCTAAACATCAGTGAAGGAGATGTCCAGGGGGCATTGAGGCAGCTCATACCTGCTACACTTGTCCCAACCCAAGAGCCCTCTGAAGGCGGGAACCCTGCTAAGTGCACATCCATTACCGTTACTGTTACTGCACAGGACGAGGGAAACTGGGAAAATGAACTTCATCATTCCACCCACGTGTTTGGGCGCTGGTTTGGGTCCTGCTGCCATTTCCCACACAGGGCTGCCATTGCCCTGTCCCAGGAAACTGAGCCAAGGTTGCATGTTGGGGTGGGGATCAGAGTAGGGGACTTGGAAACTTTTTATTCCCTTTTAACAGCAGCTGCCATGACTTGTTAGAGACACAGAGCAAGAAACACACACATTCGTGGCTTGTGGCTTTGAGTCTTCCATTGGCACCTCTGAAAACCAAGTATCAAACTGTGCGGGTAGACAGTGTTTGAGAGAGATCAGTGTCAGTCCTCCTTAAAAACTCATTCTAGGGGCTACCCGATTGTTCAGTGTCACTAAGCAAGAAGGGGGCCAAAGTCCAACAGAGCAAAGACCCACCCAAACCACAGATGACCCATGAACTTGTCTCCGAGGCACGTGACTGCTTTGCCCAAGTTCCTGGCCGATCTCTAAGGTTCTGGGCTTTCCACTAGGCTCAGTGGCCTCTCCTCAGTATTTCTATCAACTGGATTTGCAACACCTGACCCTGGCCCCTCTTTTTTCTTCTTCTTGGTTTTCATCTGATGGGGCAACACTGTGTATAGTCATTAAGAGCTTCACTGGGGCCACACTGCCTGACTGCAGATTCTGACTCCAGTCTACCCCTTTGCTGAGTGACCTCAAGCAAATCACCGCACCACTCTGCGCCTGTCCCCACCTGTGAAGTGGGGACATTAAGAGCACCCGCTTCAGAGGGCTGCTGGGAGGGTTGCATGTACTTACAAAGCGCTTAGAAAAATCTGCAGCACGTGTTTGTTCAATATAATAAAAACTGTGATTCCAGGGTGTGAAAAACGGAATATTCCCCAATACTGAGATGGAAATGCAGACCAAAGATTGAACTCCATGACCTATGAAACCTCCTCCAATGCTGAGTTTTATGTCCCTCTGAGGATAATCAGCATTTTCCAGATTCATTCCCCTGTGGCTCCGGTTCCCACATCTGGAAACTTGCTCCTCCAAATACTTGAAGGTTTAAGCCAAGAAGTTATGATTAAATGTTTAGGAATTCTGTAACAAAACTTTCACCATTTTTTGGGGATATGGGCTAGGAAAATGGTGGGTACAAATAGCTAAGAAATACTATTAACCAATGTAAAAATAAGGCATTGTCTGAAATCCCAAAATGATGTTTAGACTGTCTTGAGAAATGAGGTATCAGGAATCCTGGTGTCAGGTTTGAGCCCCTCTACTAACTAGCTGTGAAATCTTAACAAATTCAAAACCCCGGTATCTCACTGCCTGTGTCTCATCTGTCGGACAACCGCGGCAGGTTCCTTTATCCAGTGAGTTAAAATCAGCGGAAGCTGCAGGGAGTGCGCGGCAGGCAATGGAAGTGTCTGCCACAGAAGCGAAGAGTAACAGAACACTGGTCCAAAAACTGTGGTGAATTGTTTATTAACAGTCCGATATCCTGCATCAATAAAGTTAGCTTCACTTTCTTTTTTTTTTTTTTTTTTAATGACAAATTTAAGGAGCTTGTCAAAAAATTTACCCAGTGTGCTTTCCCTGGATTGAGAGGCTTGTAAAACGCAGCACAGCGCCGCCTAGTGGATAGGACAAATGTGGGCACTGCGCGGGGGTGAGGGATGTCCTGCCGATTTAGCTTTTGCCAAAATGCAGTTTTAGAAGGCTCTGAAATATAGCCCGTTTACTTACACGAGGCCTTGATTTATTCTCCCTCTCCACCCCTAAAGAGTAGGCGTTACCACAGTCTCTTTGCCATAGGATCCGTCTGGGTAGGGAACAGCATAGCACCACCCGATCAAACAATGGTGAATGGGGGCACTAAGATGGTTTGTTTCTACTGAAGGGACAGCCTCCGGGAAGGCCATGTGCACAAGAGGTGCCCTACTGGACGCTGGCTGGGGGGTGCCCCTGCAGAACTCTCGGGGAAAGCCATTTTGTGCCCCGGCAGCCTTTTCCTTCCTACCCCAGCCCTGCGGGGTTTGGGGCAGTTGAATGTGGTGGCTTTGAGTGTGAAGGCAGAAAGCAACCTATCCCCCTTTTCACTGCGGCTGGTAGTCACAGACAGGCTCTGTATAGAAGGTGGCTGAGCTAAAAATACACTTGGTTCCAAGTATGATTTTGCCCTCACACACGAGCCTGCCGCTTACATCTGTGGAAACATCAACAAAAGTCGGACGGCAGTGGTGTGGGCGAAGGAGTTTCGTTTTCAACCTTAACAGTTTTCTCTACCAAAGCAGCCGCCCCCCCCCCAAACTTGGTTGCCGTTGTCCATTAATCTAACCCTTGGACACCTTTGTTGGGGAATAAAAAAGATGAACTCATGGTCAGAAACCTGTAAGAGTTTTCCCAGATTTGCTTCTTCAGCAAGTCTGTCAGGAGAAGGTGACGAGTGGCAGCCTGTGCTTTGTTAGGAGTCATTGGGCCGGCTCGACAGCAGCAAGGACAGCCAGGACCTGGGGGCCTCAGTGCTGGGAGCCCGGAGGAGAAGCGACAGCATGCCTCACTCCTTGCCCCACCGCCCTCCGCATTCCGCATCGGCATCCTCCTTTCTTCCTCAGATCTGCTGCAGTGGGGGGAGCTCTTTCTTTTCTTAGCTAAGGGCTCCAGGCAAGATTGGGAAACTATTTCCTTTGAAGCCTCCTGTGACAGAGCCTTTCCTGCGAAGTTCTTCCAGACTGAATGAGACGGGGTTCAAGGGTAGGTGGGGATCATTGCAGCCGGCCCTCCCTGGCCCAGGACTCCCCAGTCACCAGTTTGCTCCACTTTTAGCTCAGAGCTCAACCCTGCCAGGCCAGGGCGGCGGGACTGTGTCTGCAATGACAACAGGACCCGGAGAGACGGCAGAGGAGAAGGGGCCCCAGTTCCCTCGCACTCTCCTTTGGTGATGCCTTCCCTGCAGGAGAAGATGGGCCCTGCCGGCTGCCCAGCTGGTGTGCCTGCTGGCTGTGCTGGGAAGCTCGGGCAGGTCAGCAAGTCTCTTTAAAACGTTATTTTTTTCTCCTTTAAAATGGGGATGGTAAGAGATTGTTGTACACATTAAGTACATTCAGTTTCAAGGGGACTAGTGGGCTGCTGACAGAACAGCACGTACTCACTCAGTCAGAGCTCTCTTTCTAGCTTGTTTTCTGGCTCTCAATCTGAAGCCAGGAGATCCTTCTTCAGACAGCTCCGGAGAGGCAGGGTGAGGCTGCCAAGGGGAGCTGGCCCTTCCGCGTGGCGACACATGTCGCCTGGCCTAGGATCTCCGACCGGCACAAAGTTCTATCTAGTCCTGGGAACACACGTTCCTCATCAGCTTTGGAGAAAGGGCTACTTTCGAGATCAAAGAGATGACCATAACCCCAAATGGACTCCTATGGTAATTCAATAAGACAGAGAAAGGCCACCAAATCCTGGAAGGAAAAGACTCCAGAGATACATAGCAGCAAGCAAACAATCAACTCTTCCTCACTCTTTCATGAACCCTGAAATACATAAATACTAGACTCAGAAAGCTGTGGCCACGAGTCTGACGTGCGAGCCGGGCCTCTGGCAGCACGTCCTGTGTTGTTAGAGCTGGGCGGGGGGGATGTCCTGTGTTGTTAGAGCTGAGGGGGCACTGAGGTGGCCCTCAGAGAGGCCTGCGTCCCGATACACACAGCGAGTGGTCAGCAACCAGCACCTGAGTAAGTCTTCCACCTCATCACATTAAAACGACCTTTCCTTTCCAAATGATCCCTTTCCTTTCCAAATGATTCTTTTAGAAAATGATTTTCTAAAAGAATTTTATAAGAATTATAAAATTCTTATAACTAAGAATTTTATGAATTATCAAAAGGACCAAATTCTTTCATTTATTGGACAGCAGAAGCCAGGTGCTCCTTTTTCCCAAATCCACACTTACTGGCGTCTTGACTGAAAACCTCCTCGAAGCAGCCCACTCACTGTTGCTAGCCCCCTCACGAAACAGGTGGAGCCCACGACGTACAGGTGCTGAGAAGAGCGCAGTATCCCTCTTAAGCTGGCCAGAATCTGCCTCCAAAGAGACAATTTTGTGACCACGTGTCTGGAAGACAGGACGCCAGGAGTCTGTCTCAGCCATGAACCGGTGTCCCCTTGACCTTCAGCCACGAAGGCCGTGAAGACGAGGCCCCGGACAGTGCTGCACTGCTCAGCGACAACATCGAGTGAGGGTTTCCGTGAACGGCGCTCAGTAGGACCTCAGCGGTTTGGCGTAGATTGGCTCCAGGATGTGATTGGTTAGAACCAAGAAGAGACCTCCAAGGAAGACAGCAGTGAGGAAGGCCAGCAGGACGTAGCGACCGATGAAGAAGGCATCCACGATCTGGAGAAGGAAACATGGACAAGGACATCACTATCGCTCTGGCACCTGCTGCGCTCGCCTGCAGTCTGAGAGGAACGGGCCCAGGGTCTGCTCGTAGCTGTACCTCCCGGGAACGCCCCGCCCTGGGTCTCCTCTGTAAGTGCTTGGGCAGAACCAGTGCTTAACTCTCAGCGCCAGAAGTGCAAGGTAAAGAAAGAATGAAGTACAGGAAACAAAGGGCTGAGTTAGGAGATTCATAAACATGTGGAACGCCCTGGATGAGTCCTTTGTGTTCTGGAATCGTGTGTTATGTCATCTGAAAGCATTCCCGAGAAACTGGCTTGATCTTAGAAAAGCTCCTTTCTGTTGTTAACTTCTTATCATGGAGAATTTTAAACGCACCTAAAAATACAATACTGTAATAAATCCCACGTACTCGAAATCCTAAGCCAAAAATCGTCAACCCATTGCCAATTCTGGAGGGTTCATTTTCAAAATGAAAAGGCAGCTCTTTAGAAATCATGAGAAGAGTCCTGAACCCTAACATTCGTCACCCAGCGTTCCAAGGGTTAGGGGAAACGGCCATTTGCCTGAGACACTGAAATGCTATGAGAAAAGCAACCCCTTCTCGGGTGGATCACTGGTGACTGGGTTCTCCCACAGAGGCGGCGGGCTGCCCTTTCATTCTGAGGGCTTCCTCCGCTGTGCACAGGCTTTTCAGTTGGATGTGGTCCCAGTTGTTTACTTTTTCCTTTGTTTCCCCGGCCCTAGGAGACATATTGGCAAAAATAAGAGATGTCTGAGATTTTACCGCCCGTGTTTTCTTCTAGGATTTTTACAGTTTTGTGAATTTCATTTAAGTCTTTTATCCATTTTGAATTTATTCTTGTGGATGGTGTAAGTTGATGGTCTAGTTTCATTCTTTTGCATGTACCTGTCCAGTTTTCCCAGCACCATTTATTGAAGAGACTCTCTTTACCCTGTTGTATGTTCTTGCTTCTGGGTCAAGTATTAATTGACCGTAAAAGCACGGCTTTACTTCTGGGCTTTCACTGATCTCTATGCCTGTTCCAATGCCAGTGCCAGGCTGTTTTGATTACAGTGGCCTTATAGTATAGTTTGATATCAGGTAGGGTGATACCGCCCACTTTGTTCTTCTTTCTCAAGATTCCTGAGGCTATTCAGGGTCTTCTGTGGCCCTATATAACTTTTTGGAATATTTGTTCTATATCTGTGAAATATTGGTATTTTAATAGGAATTCAATTGAATCCATAGATTTCTTTGTATAACTCAACACCAAGAAGACAACCCTACTAAAAAATGGGCAAAGGACCTGAATAAACACTTCTCCAAAGAGGAAATTCAGATGGTCAATAGACATATAAAAATATCCTCAATGTCACTAATCACCAAAGAAAAGCAAATGAAAACCACAATGAAATGTCACCTCACACCTGTCAGGATGGCCATTGTCGGTAAATCAACAAATAGCAAGTGCTGGCGAGGGCGTGGTGGAGAGGGGGCGCCCCGTGCACTGCTGGTGGGAATGCAGCCTGGTGCAGCCTCTGTGGACAGAGTGTCCTCAGGAAGTTAAAAATGGAACTACCTTTGACCCAGTGATCCTACTTCTGGGAGCATATCTGAAGAAACCCAAAACACTAATTTTAAAGAATATGTGCAGCCCTGTGTTCACTGCAGTGTTATTTACAATAGCCAAGATCTGGCTATTATGCCCATCAGTAAATGAGTAGATAAAAAAGCTGCGGTCCATTGACAGAAGGAATAATACTCAACCATAAAAAAGAAGGCAATCTTACCAGAAGACCCTGAATGGGTGGATGGACCTGGAGAACATTATGCTAAGTGAAATAAGCCAGTCAGGGAAAGACAAACACCATATGATTTCACTTGTATGTGGAACTCGATAAACAAAATAATTTAAGAAACAAGACAGAAACAGAAGCATAGATACACAGAACAGACCGATAGACTGGGAGCTGTCAGTTTGAGGGGTGAAGAAAGGTGATGGGATTAAACGTGTGTGTGTTTGTGTGCGTGTGTGTAAATACATGACACACGGACACAGACAACAATGTGGCAATCACCAGGGAAGGGGGTGGTGGCGGCGGAGAGGGGCAAAGGGGGGAGAAGAGGGGCGGGCAGCAACCTGTGGGAGGTGAGTGCGCAGTGCCGCATGCAGCGATGTTTTAGTGAGTTGTGCACTTGACACCTGTACGGTTTTATTTACCAATGTCACCCTGATAAATTCAATAAAAGTAAATTAAAAATAAAACAGTAAGGGGCCCAAATCACACAGTTGGCTGCCTGTGGACCCATCACATGTGAGGCCCCAGAGCTGTTAGTCTTTGCTGACCAAGACCCGGGGTCAGTGCTGGCTCGCCCTCCTGTCTGCTGCCCGCCGCGGAGCTCGGCTCGCTTCCAGGTCCACGGGGCGGTGCTCAGGTTTGGGCAGGACATTTACTCTGCGGACCCAGTGGGGCAGCTACACAAACCAGTGGGCTGGGGTACTTCACGGCTTCGAGAAGCTTTGGAAACCCAGTCCCCAGGAGAGAATCCAACACTTGAAAGGTGACTGTGGCAGATGGGAGAATGGTACGAGAAGGCCCACATTTTAATTCTCTGAAACTGTGAATGTAGATTGCATGGTGAAGCAGAATTAAGGTTGTAAATGGAACTAAGCTTGCTAATTAGCGGAACTTAACAGAACCCAGGCGGCCTGTGGAATCTTCAAAGCAGAAGAGGGAAGCAGAGTCCGAAGGTGGGGCAAGGGGACCCCCAGCCAAGGGGGGCCCCTGGAAGCTGGAAAGGGCAAGAAAACAGATTTTCCCCTAGATCTTCTAGAAAGGGATTCAGCCCTTCCAAGCCCTCGGGTTCAGCCCAGGGAGACTGATTTTGGACTTCTAGTTCAGTTTTAAGATAACGGGTTCGTGCGATTTGTTACAGTAGCAGTCGGAAGGTGGTAATGCAGGGTCAACACAGCAAGGACCTGTCAAGTCCAAACGCTGCTGTGATCGCTGGGACCCAAAGACACCAAGAAGAAAGGGCTGCTCCAGAGACACCCCCACAGCCAACTTAGAACAAAGGTCAGTTTGATCAAACAGCTTTAACATAACTTTGACCTTGGCTCCGGTACTGAACAAGTCTCCTGCGGGCTACATGTTTGCTCGTTCGACACGTTTCACTTTTTAATTAGCCAATTAGCAGGCCTTGGGTGCAGAAGGCCCAGGACATGTATTATTGATAGGTATTGAGCCAGGCAGCTGCAGGGGCCGGTTCTCAAAACCTGAAAACGAGACTCCAGTCCTGCCGGCCATGCTGATGAATGTCTTTTGCTCCAACCCCATCATTCCCCTCTCCTGGGTCTGAAACTCCCGGGACAGAGGACGGAGGGGTGGACTTCAGAGCGGCGGGTGCTCTGTGCCCTCCGCCAGCACCACATCTACAGCGATCCAGAAACACGGCAGCCTTCTTGGCTGTGCCCCCACTGAGATGGGGACGCTGGGGTGGGGGCCTGCCCCTCGCTCACCCACGGCACCCACGCCGACAGTGGCTGGCGAATGCTGGCGAGAGAAACGCATGAATGGAATGATTCCTTCCGAGGTGCGCTATTATTTCCCCCGGAATTTTCTGAACAATTTTCTCCCTTTTGCCATGGTGAGTCCTAGACAGAGTTGCAAATAGGTGCCAATTTTAGGTCAGAAGTTATGATTTTGTGCGCTATTGTCTGGTGTCAAAGCTGTCACTTACAAACTCTCTGTGCTGGCCCCTAACAGTCCGTTGAGTCCCCAAAACAATGAAAGCTTTGAAGACACAGCCCAGCCTCAGTCCTTGCTCTCTCCCTACATATGTCTGACTGGGGCGAGTAGCTCTTACCCCCTAGAGCTTCCCTGTTCTTATCTATAAGGGGGGGACAGCACTGGTCCCTACTCCACACTGCTTAGGGTCATCAGAGGTTTAACTGAGACAATGTAAACCATGTGCTTACCACAGGACCTTGCACGCAATAATCCCCCCCAAAATGTCAGCTATTCTCATCATTCCAGCTGAAAAAGCTAAAGTGGAGGTTGGGAGGAAAGAAGCTGATGGAAGGAATAATGGCACAGAGGTCAACCCCATTATCAAGGTCGCAGGGATCTGAGACCAGCCGTGCAGGACAAAGCTAGGCCAGTGAGGAAGGAGCCAGAAGGAGCTTCGTCCAGACGGCCGAGGAGACAGATGAACACAACTGGCCCGGAAAGGGGCTCCCGCAGGCGCGGCCGGGGAGGAGGCCGCTGAGCGCTGCACGAGTCCGTGCGCACGGCTTATGCTTCCTAGAAGCCTTTTCCGTTCCTCACCGCTCTTCTCTGTGAGAAATGCCTTCTCACATCAGAAATGGGAAATGCGAGCCCGCTCAGGCAGAAAAGTGTGCCGCTCAGCACCCTGAGGGCACTGCGGGCTTAGGGGTGGACCCAGTGTCCGGGCCCAGGCCTCGGTGTCCACCAGGCCTGCCCCTCCGCGGAGCTCGCTCCCCTCTCTCCGCCCGCAGGACGAGGCGGGTTTCAGACACATCGCTCCTTCACCCTGATGGGCGTCCAAAAACGACTTAAATCCCTCCGCCCCCACCAGCTTTCATCGTCCTGGCTTTAACTTCACAAATCTGCGCACACAGTTTGGCCACCCTGACATCAGGGACCATGGCGGGGCGGAGCGAGGACTAGGTCAAGGGAAAGAAGAGTCACATCTCGGGAGGCAAAATAAAACCAATCCTGGTACCTTCACTTCGACCTCCGGGGCTGGGGTCTCTCCGGCTCGGGGGAGGAGCAGCAGCACCGCCGTGATGATCAGCGCCCCGAGGAAGACAAACAGGACGGAGAACCTGGGCCAGAGAGAGGGTGTCAGCGCGCTGTTTCCCGTCCCCTCCCTGCCCGTTAGCAATGCCCAGGGCCCTGCTGTCTGCACTGGCCCCAGAAATGTAGACATGCTTCCGGCTTTGTCCCAAAGCCCTTCTTCCTAGGCAGGTGCCAGCAGGTGCATTCCCGTTTATTCCCAGTCACTCCAAAAACTCCTCTTAAGAGTGGAAATTGGTAGTTAGTATTTTTCCCTCTGTACAGTCATAATCATGAGAACCCCCCCTCCCCCCACCACTTCTGTGATTGTTTTTAGACCAGAACACCTCAGTAAATTCTGTAACTCGTGGCTCTATCCTGACACTGTCTGACCAGAGAGGGCGACACTACAGTGCTGTTCGAGTGGCTCGTGGCCTGCCTGCTGCAGTTGGGCCTCACGCAGAGCCAGCCATCACCGGGCAGGTCTTCTGCTTCCCTGGGCCCAGGGCCAGAGCTTCAGGGACTGGACGGAGCACTGGCCGCAGTCTGAACAATTGTGAAACTCACACACGTACAAAGCTAAGAAATCCAACAGGCAGTGAAAGCAGGTTTTCTTTTCAGCTCGTGTGCCCCCATCTCCTCTACAGTGAACTGACAAATACCATTTCCCTTCTCCTCCCGCCTCTGCTTCAGAGCCTGGGACACAGTGTGCATGAGGAGAGGTTACAGTGTGCCAGTGGTTACAAAGAGGCCCTCTGAGTTCTAAACGTGTGCTGAGTGTCAGCGATTTCGCTGCTGCTTGTTCTGCAGTGGACTCCCGGGGAGAGGAAGCCTTACCTGGCCGCTCCGGGGGCTCTGGAGAGCAGCATGCACAGCAGCAGCACCAGCACCCACAGCAGAGCCAAGGTGAACACGCCGGCCCCCACTCCCAGCACCGTGCCGGTCATCTGTGGAGAGAGGAGGCGTGAGCCCTGCATGCCGCTCAGCCCTGGGCCATGCGGCAGGACCCTCGGCCCTGGGCACCGCCTGCCTTCTGCACGCTCCCGGGGTGTATGAGAAAGCAGTCAGCCAAATGCAGCAAGTGCAAACTCACTGTGAGGGATTTCTGTTGATGGCTGTGTCAGATTTGGGGGCATGTCCAGTCTCAGAGGCCTTAGCAGGAATTAGACATTTATTTATTTATTTTTAATATATTTTATTGATTATGTTATTAAAGTTGTCCCATTTCCCTCCCTTCACTCCCCTCTGCCCTGCACACCCCCTCCCACCCACATTCCCCCCTTTTAGTTCATGTCCATGAGTCCTGCATATGAGTTCTTTGGCTTCTACATTTCCCATACTATTCTTACCCTCCCCCTATTTTCTACCTACCATCTATGCTACTTATTCTCTGTACCTTTTCCCCATCTCTTCCTCTCCCACTCCCCCTCTGATAACCCTCCATGTGATCTCCATTTCTGTGATTCTGTTCCTATTCTAGTTGTTTACTTAGTTTGCTTTTGTTTTTTGTTTTAGGTGTGGTTGTTAATAACTGCGAGTTTGCTGTCATTTTACTGTTCATATTTTTTATCTTGTTTTTCTTAGATAAATCCCTTTAACATTTCATATAGTAAAGGGCTTGGTGATGATGAACTCTTTTAACTTGACCTTATCTGGGAAGCACTTTATCTGCCCTTCCATTCTAAATGAAAGCTTTGCTGGATAGAGCAATCTTGGATGCAGGTCCTTGCCTTTCATGACTTGGAATACTTTTTTCCAGCCCCTTCTTGCCTGTAAAGTCTCTTTTGAGAAATCAGCTGACAGTGTTATGGGGACTCCTTTGTGGGTAACTGTCTCCTTTTCTCTTGCTGCTTCTAAGATTCTCTCCTTATTTTTAATCTGGGGTAATTTAATTATGATGTGCCTTGGTGTGTTCCTCCTTGGGTCCAACTTCTTTGGGACTCTCTGAGCTTCCTGGACTTCCTGGAAGTCTTTCCTTTGCCAGATTGGGGAAGTTCTCCTTTATTATTTGTTCAAATAAGTTTCCCACTTGTTGCTCTTCCTCTTCTCCTTCTGGTACCCTTATAATTTGGATGTTGGAATGTTTAAAGATGTTCTGGAGGTTCCTAAGCCCCTCCTCATTTTTTTGAATTCTTGTTTCTTCATTCTTTTCTGTTTGTTTCTTTCTTCTTTCTGGTCCACTCCATTGATTTGAGTCCCAGTTTCCTTCTCATCACTATTGGTTCCCTGTGCATTTTCCTTTATTTCACTTAGCATAGCCTTCATTTTTTCATCTAATTTGCAACCAAATTCAACCAATTCTGTGAGCATCCTGATTACCAGGTTTTGAACTGTGTATCTGATAGGTTGGCTACCTTTTCGTTGCTTAGTTGTATTTTTTCTGGAGCTTTGATCTGTTCTTTCGTTTGGGCCATTTTTTCCATCTTGACATGCTTGTCACATAGTGAGGGGCAGAGCCTTGGGCGTTCCCTGGGCAGGGCAACTCAGTTGCTGTTGTGACGCTGTATGTGGGGCAGGGGTCCGAGAGAACAATGGTGCTTGCTCTGCTCTCTGCCAGATTTCAGTCACCTCCCCCGCTTCCCACAAGCAAATTGGGCCCTTCTGGTGCTGATTCCCATGTGGGTGGGCTTGTGTATGTTCTAGGACCCCATGGGTCTCTCCAACGAGTTCTCCTGTGAGGCTGGGAATCTCTCCCGGCACGTCGACCCCCGACAGGTGTTTTCAATGAGAGGTTTGAGGCTTGATTTCCCTGCGCTGGGACCCTGGGTTGTGTGATCTGCCTCCCCTCCCAGTTGTTCCTCCTGGATTATCCACATACGAATGTGGGACCACCTGGCCCACCAGCCGCCGATCCACCAGCTGCCGCCTTGATGCAAGTCCTCTCCACCCACCTGCCTGGCTCCGCCCCTCCTACCGGTCCAGATGAATGCTTCTTCTTTAACTCCTTGGTTGTTGGACTTCCATACAGTTTGATTTTCTGTCAGTTCTGGTTGGTTTTTGTGTTTTGTTTTTGTCCTTCTTTTGATTGTACAAGGAGGCACAGTGTGTCTACCTACGCTTCCATCTTGGCTGGAAGCCCCTAAAATAATCAGGAATTAGACATTTAGAACCAAACCTTCCTTGCTGGTGAGGACGGAGAGGTTGCTCTCTGCTCTGGGTGGGTCATTCCAAATTTGCAATCTCCTTTGCTGTCCCTCGGCCCACAGGAGGAAGCCGAACTCTCCCTTGATACAAACCCCCATGGAGCGCTGTTGAAGGCACCAGGGCCCGAGGGAGCCACAGCCGATGTGGGAGCTGGAGCTTTCCGGGTAAGTCCCTGGTATGCCCTTCAACTCACCAGGCAATCACAGACAGAACTGCCCCACTTTGCCGATGAGTTTTTACTCACAAAAGGAAGCAAACACCTAAGTCCTTGAAGAAGGGGGGGCCCATTATTTCTGAGCAGTCCCTGTGTGCCGAGTGCCTTACGAATATCTCTCATTTAATCTTGGCAATAAGCTTCCAAGGAAGGTATTACTAGATCACGTTACAGAAGGTAACTGGGGTGCAACAGGAGTGAAGTCGGATGGCTCACAACAGTGGAAAGCCACAGCTCTCTCATAGCCTGGGGACCAGAAGTTGGAAATCAAGTGCCATCCAGGCCTTGCTCCCACCAGAGGCTCTGGAGGAGAATCCTTCCCGCCTCTTGCAGATTCTCATGGCTCCTGGCACCCCTTGGCTTGTGGCCACATCCCTCCAATTTCTGCTGACTTCTCCTCTGCGTCTCTGTCTTTCACGAGGACACCTGCCATTGAATTAGGGGCTCCACCCAAATGACCCAATTTGATCTCATCTCAACATCCTTCACCTTGATTGCATCTGAAAAGACCCCTTTTCCAAATAAGGTCGCATTCCCAGGTTCTGGGGCTTAGAACGTGAACATATCTTTTGGGGAGCCACCATTCGACCCACCGTAGGGCAACACCACACTATTGGACCGCCCCTGATTTTCCCTGACAGTGTCAGAGGTAAGTCGTAAGCAAAACTTCTTCCTCGGGGTGATGGTTTTCTTTACTCTGGTGGCTTACATACCACAAACATCATTATCTCTGAGAAGTCCGGTTATAAAGGCATTGGGAAGGAAGCCCTAAGCAAGAACTGCTGAAAAATAAAACCAAGTGTGTATTCAATCTCCCTTTCTTGGTGCCCACCACATGCAGCACTGGGCTGCATGCTGGGCTCACAAGGTAAATGAGATGCCGTGTCTGACAGAAGCTTACGGCCTGTTGGAGGTCATGGTCGCATAAACAGCTGTGCGCATCACCCTCTGAAACGCAGGAAAACACAGTGCGATGGGAACCGAGGTGTTGAGTGGGCAACCTGGCGTGGGCTCCTCTGGGGCAGAACCAGTGCGGCCGAGCGGAGCGTGAAGGGAAGGGTGGGCAGAGAGGAGGGCGGGGGCAGGGGGGACTCCTGTTCCTTCTCAATGCGGCCTCCATAGGGAGGTCTTCCCTGCCTGGCCTAGCGAAAGTGGCCCCCCAAAAGTTACTCCCCATCACTCCAGTTCCTTCAGAGCACACCTCACAGAGTAGAGTTCACATTTTTATTGATCTTTTACAGTTCATTTCCTGTCTTTCCAAGTAGAACAGAAGACTCCATGAGGACAGAGACTATATCTTTCTTACCACAGTACCCCAGTTCTTACCAGAGATTCTATTCAGTAAAAATTTGTTGGACGAATACATGAAGCAGTGCTGACAAGTCCTTCGTGGAAATCAAGTGAAGGGGGAGTGGCAGGGTCGGATCTGGTCTTAGAAAGACACCTGCGGCTTCCGGTCAGCCTGCTGTAGGAAAGAGCAGGGACAGCGCTCACAAGGAAAGTACCTCCCACCAAAACAAACGCAGAAAAATGCTTAATAAAGTAGAACAAAAAGAATTTAATACACAGGGGAGTTCAAAAACAATAAAGAAAAACCCTTAAACGCTGTCAAAAGCAGTGCCAACTCGAAGCCTGCGTGGCGAGCTGGAGCTGAGGCCAAAGGTCTTCGGGGCCACTGGAGCCTGACACAGCCATACAGTGTCCCCTCCCGGCCGGATGAGGTCTCAGACCCGCGATCCAGAGAACAGCAACTGAGCACGAGGCACAAAGAGAGGCCTTGAAAGGCCTCACCTGTGTTTGAAACAGGGACTAAGTCTGCCGCTGACTTGGAGGAAAGCTGGTCAAGCACCTGAGGCCATGGATAAAAGAGGATACCCCAAGAGAACCTGAATTCCAATCCTATGTCACATGAGGTGTGGGGGTCAAGTCACACCGCTGGTATGATGTGGAATCCCAAGGAGCAAGTTCAGCATGAAAACCACACTAAGAATGAGAAGCCCACGGGGTCCCAGCAGAGACCCACCAAGATCCCTCTGCAGGGACGCACCGCCGTCAGCACGATGGCTCCCCCACGGGTGAGTGTAAAATGGAGATGCTTTCTGACACACAAAGGCTGAAACGGAGTTCACCTCTTGTAGACAGATACACTTCACTCGCAAGAAGGAAAATGCACCAAGAAAGATGGTGTGATACATAAGGAGGAACGGTGGGGAAAATAGGAGGAAATGTTGACAGTAAAGTTTTCTGTAATGCTAAGTAATGCTAATTTTTTTTTTTTTTAGTTTAAAACAAGATAGAACTAAAATATTTGCCGACAGTTATATGGAAGATGAGAAAGGGTAGTTCCGAGTTAAATCATTATTACCTTTGGTTATTTTTTTCTCTCTGGAGGAGGTGGGAGTTAATGATTACCTGTTGGCTTTGTTCAGGAAAATATACATGTTCTAAAAACATATAGCTAAACACCAAAGATGGTAAATTTAAGGTTATGTGTTTATTACCACAATTAAAAAAACAAGCAAAACAAAATAAAAAATAACCTGGGGAAGCAATATTAGTATCAGGCAAAAGAGAATGTAAAGTTTGGAA